TGTGTGTGTGTGTGTGTGCAGTGCATGTGCGCGTGTGTGTGTGTTGTAAAACAAATAGCTGAGGCCATTACCAGACATTATGTTGCCAAAACATCAATTAAAGTAAAACAATGCCAAGTGTGTCTATTTACACAAACGAGTGTGTGGGTGTCCGTGTGCATGTGTGCTTGTGTGTACATACATTGCGTGTACTTTATGCCCGGCTTATCAGTCCCCAAACATTCGGTTTGGCGACATGTGGGTCAATTTCTTTGATCACGTCGAGGCGTCGCCAGTTGTTCCCCAAAGACTTAAGTGGACTCGGATGTCAGCCAAACAATGCCTCCGTTGTGTTTCTCAGGCTAATTTTGTGTTATTTTGATAAGCAGTGAGTTGAGTTATTCCGCAGAGAGCCAGGAGGCAGCCGTCTGGTGCTCCATTACAGCGTGACATAATGACTCTTTCAAATGGTGTCACTGTAAACACATTTCCCTTTTACAAATGCACACGCATGCGTCGCCCGCCCATCAGTAGATGGGGCGTGGAGGGGGCCGGGGGGGGGGGGGGGGGGGTTGTTTTACATTATTTATATATTATACATATATTTATATGTATCTTGTATTGTTGTGCTGTTTTGTAAATGTATCCCGGGCTGTCTCGTGAATGTGTTTGTAATCTCAGTGAGACTTCCTGTTGAAATACTAAAGGTAAAATAAAATTGTATGTGTTCAAATAAAAATAAAAGCGTTACAAGTGAGGCATGAGAACAATCAGAGTTTTATACCATCAGAAGTTGAGTAAACGCTAATACACTGAAAAAACCCACACCAGTGCAGTGCAGCTATAGCAGGGTTTCAATCAATCATGTGATGTGTAGTCCCATGAAATAAGTTCAAGCCGCCATATTTGTACTTCTTGACCAAAAAAATGTGCGAATAACCAAGCGGCCAGCTGTTATTGATTCTAATTATAATGGTGGAAAAAAGGATGGCGGCTTGACGTGTGCGTGATATCACGTGAAACCCTGAATCGGCGCATTTCTGTTGTGTTGTGCGTTACGCTGATTGCCACTCTGTTTAATGTGCGTCTGTTGTCGTCACACAAACGTACACCCCTGCTGCTATGATTATGATTCATTGCAATGACACACAACACACACCTACGTGGAGGAGTAACTCTTTTCTTCTTTAATGCATTTGGTAGTTAATGACTCACTGACTCCTCAAGACCTGCCTTAAATAAACAGATACAAACATGCAAAGGTACATCAAACACACGCACACACACACACACACACTCTCTAATGGTGCTGCCTTTTGAGTCTAACCCTTTGCATACCGGTGTATTATGTTCCCGGTGCCCTTTTTAATTTTAGGTGAACACGGTTCACCTTTTATGGTGATCTCATAAATTGGCAGCCAAGCCTGCGGCGAAGAGGTAAAGAATAGCGATGGGAAGGATTAGAGCAGCGTACATGGGACATGTGAAAGCATGTGGACGCTTGTGGCCTTTGCGGTAATATTCATCTTTGTAAACCTTCGCTGAGCTGTGAACCACACCCAACAAGTTGTTACAGCTCCGTGTGCATCGAGGCGAGGAGAGTCTTTAATCTTATCATGTTAATAACGGCCATATAGCATTTTTCCTAGTTTATAAAATATGCAAAATATGTGCAAGAGTTGTAAAGTGGGCACATTGCAAACGTTCAAAGTCATTCTAAAATGTTCCACTTCATCCATCTGATTTTATGAAACCAAAATGGCGCAGGCCCTCTGTATGCACTCTTTTTTCATAGCTGTGTCATAGCCTGTGTGTTTGCCGGCGAGGAAGGCTATATGGAGGACATGTTCATTACTCTGTCTGCCTTCTCCCTCTGACGGATGCACCCCCGCCAAGCAACCAACCCAGTGTAGCCCACCGACTGAGGTGCCTGATTGAGTTCACAACTATATATATATATATAATAATAAACTATAGTACAGAAGTGCCCGACGGTACACACTGTCACTTCTGCACAAAAAAATCCATATAAGTGAGCTAGTCACAGCTAGACTTTGACAGGGAATAGATCTGGAGCCGGGTGCGAACAGGCTAATCTTCCAGAGAAATGAATAGCTAGATGATACAGGAACAGGAAGGAGCCAGGGAGACCATAACCAATGGCAGAGAGGAAGATTGGATGTTCAATACAACCTGAGACTGTACCTGAGATTGTGATCTGTTTACACCCGAACCACACACACAAGCATGCAGTGTTTGTTACATCACAACGATCGGTGAGGTGTCATTTCGCCCTCATTATCCAAATCATTGCTCTCGTTTCCGAAAAACTGCACTCTGTGTAAAGAAGCGTAAACAATGTCACGACGCAAAGTAGTATTTGATCACCGTCTGATGTTCATCTTCACGGTGCGGCATTATCCAGGATTACTCAGCGGACGCCTGTGACATTTTTACGACCGTCTTTATTCTCGACTCTTTCCCCGGGGAGTTGACCCCTGACGTTCGCTCAGAAGCCGCGAGTTGAATCATTCCTTTTGCGTATGCTTGCCAACGATCCCGTACAGTACGGAGCGGCATATTCGATATTTGTTCCTCGATGGTACGAGAGAGAGAGAGAGAGAGAGAGAGAGAGAGAGAGAGTGAACATGATGTCTCCCGGCAGACGTGTGTCTCCTCCTCCAAGAGCCCCCCTGTTGACGCCATGCTGTTATTTCCTTTGCCCCACAGGAGCGCTTCGAGGCCTTGTTCAGAATCTACGACGAACAGACCACCTTCCAGATGTTCAAGAGTTTCCGGAGAGTCCGCATCAGCTTCGGCACCGCGGAGGCGGCGGCGCGCGCCCGCATCGAGCTGCACGAGACCGAGTTCAACGGCAAGCAGCTCAAGCTCTACTTCGCTCAGGTCTGTGGTCCCCCCCCCCCGCATAGCGCCGGCCACCGAGTCGTGGTGGAAATGGTCAGATTAGATCAGACGAGACTGGGATAGATTGATTTATGTTACATCGCTGTAGCGTAAATTGCTTTAGATGAGATAACAACTGGACTAGATTTGATTCGATTGGGTTTCTTAAAATGCAATCGATTATTCAGATTAGATTAGATGATGTTAGACTAGATTAGATTTCTTTATATTAAATTGCTTCAGATTCGATTGCTTTAGACTCGATACAATTCAAGATGTTTTATTTACACACAGCCAGTGTTGGTATACAAAGTACTAAATGTATACTTATGTAAATAAACCCTCTCTCCTCATCCCCAAAATGAACACCCATATAATATCAAGCTTAAAACATTTAAATGTTTCTATGGGAAAGGTGGTTATTAGTAAAAACCATGATGTCATACTACACTGTGTAACACTGCATGAAGTACATGCAGGTCAAATTTTGTCCAAAGGTCAAATTTGGGCTTTGACTGAATCCCTTTCTTTCTAGTTTTCCTCTAGCCCTGTCATCTCCGATCTACACTTTATAGCTGTCTTGTCTCCTTAGCTGTCGAACCCCTTCAGTTCCTCCGGGAGCTCAGAGGGCCGTGGCGTCTGTGAACTCATCTCCCTCTGTGTCCTTCATTGTCTGCGTTGTTCTTTCCATGGACTTCTTGAAACAAGTAAACACTGACTCCCAATCGCGATAGCCACCATGGACCCCATAGTGGGGCAGGGGAGAGTTGTGGCTAGGGGGTTGGACCCCATAGTGGGGCAGGAGAGTGTCGTGGCTAGGGTGTTGGACCCCATAGTGGGGCAGGAGAGTGTTGTGGCTAGGGGGTTGGACCCCATAGTGGGGCAGGGGAGTGTCCTGGCTAGGGTGTTAGGGTGCTGGACTCCTAACTGAAGTGTACTGGATTTGATCTCCAATCTGCCCTGGGTTCGATCCCCCCTAATACCCTACCTTTATGCATCTGTGGGCAAGAGGACCTGTGCCTTAAGGACATGAGTCTGCATTCCCTCTAAATTGCTTTGGATAAAAGCTTCTACTAAATAACTAAATAGTAGTGAGTAGTAAAATAGATTCAGTATAAACTGTAAAGGGACAACACCAGATGATCAACATCAGCCAGGATTTATCTGCATGCAGTGAGCTTCCCCTGTTAGGAAATTAATTAACGCTCAGCAAGATTTGGTAAATGGTGGCGATGATAAAAGATCCAAAATCACTCATGTCATAGATTTAATCATTTATTGCATGACATGGTAATACACTTTAGTTTGCCGGTATGGTCCCACTCGTTCAGGGTGCTCCCTGCTGTAGGATTTAAAGCATGACAAGCATGTCAGACACAGCATAACAACATTTGACAACAGGGAGCACTAGAGAATCCCCCCCATGGGGTACATCAGATATCTGTGTAGGTTACATTACAATACAGAGCAGAGCCAAAGCAGGTGGAGGCTGGGGGTGGTGGTGGGTGAAACCCAGCTCAGCACTTAACTTCGCAGAGAGAGTGTGTGTCAGATGGAAAGGTCTTAAATGAACCGCCTATCAGTGTACATGAGTTTGATTGGACAAGCGTTAGCCGTCGGCTGATAGGCGGCGCACGACCAGAGTGTCAGAACTAGCTACGCTCATATATGATATACATTTCGTTGGCTATTCCTCAATCGCTAGTCCGTCTATGTAACACGTCCACGTGTTCGAAGTGCAACTAGGTCTCATTCCCTGCGGAATCGCAATGAGCACATTTACGGCGTGCTGGTAAGACAGCCGCAATATACAGCCCTGTCATTACTGATGCATGGCCACCTAAAACAACCCCCCCCCCCCCCCCCCCCCCCCGCGCACATACATCGCTCACTTTCCTGTCCACAACAAATACAAGGAGCCGCCCATAGAATATAAAGTAGCTCATTATGAATGAGGGTAAGGATAAGCCCATGGGAAGTGTAGTCCTCCTTAAGTCTCCTCCTTAAACCTCAGATGACTTAGTACAAATTTGTGGTGAGCCTTGCTCAATAGACCTAACGACCGATTCCACCACAAACGGACAACAGACTCGCCTTCTCTAACCATCCTCCTCTGGGGGCCAGAATAGTCTAGTGGTCCGGGTGTTTGACTCCCAGTCAATTGTTAATTTCTGGGTTTGAACCCCCGAGGTCCACAGCCTACCTGTAGGCATCCCTGAGCAAGATGCCCAAACCCCTACCTGCTCCTTAATGACCTGTATCTAAAAAAGCAAAACACTGTGAGTCTCCAGCTAAATGACTCAATGGTGAAATCGTACTCCTGTGTGATCCAGGTCCAAAATGGCGGCGAGGACGTGGACAAGGCCTACCTGGCTCCCCCCCAGCCCGTCAAGCAGTTCCTGATCTCTCCGCCCGCGTCCCCGCCCCAGGGATGGAGCCAGAGCGAAGACGCCACGCCCGTCATCAACTACGACCTGCTGTGTGCGGTGGCCAAGCTGGGACCCGGTGGGTACCTGCTGCTGTCGCGGTCGTTGTTGTGGTCGTTGCGGCGGTGGTTAATTCAACGTGTTGAACAAAGCGTCCGATGGATTATGACTCGAGTGCAGCGGAGAGAGTTGTAGCCTAATGTGCCATCTGGTGTGAAGAGGAGTAAGTCAGTAAGTCAGTAAGTCAGTAGTCTGGCTTACCGGCTGTAGGCTGTTGGCGTAACTCTGGGCGGGCTTGTCTGCCACCGTCGCCGCATCCTGGGCTGAGCGCCGCCCAAGACGATTGTGATTGGTTAAAGAAATACAAACAAGATGGCGTCCTATGCCAGGATGATAGTGAGTAGAGCCAGCAGCGCTAACACAACGTGTGACTATGCGAGACTAGTAAGTCATTAAGTCAGTTAGTAAGTAAGTAATTAAGTACTATGAATACACAAACTGGGTGGATGGATGTCTTTTGTTTAAAAAAAGAATCCTAACTTTTTTATTACAATAATAATGGTAATAATACTATATTAATAATAATTAAATAGCTAACTAAAATAATAGGCTACTAATAATGCTCATACCAATACTAGCACCACTATTAACAAATAGGTTTCCTCAATTTCCCCATGGGGACGAATAAAGTACCAATCTACTGTCTAATGTAATCTACTACAATTACTCTTTAATAATGACAACAACAACAACAACAGCTACCATCTTCCTAACGCCGAAACAGTGAAATGGAAAACAGGAAACAGTTCTTTATGTTGTTGAGGTTAATTAACCTGGTAATCAACTCATTTGGAGCCGGCTCATTAAAAAGCCCGTGTGGTCCAAGCTATATTAGGCCCCAAACCCCGAGGGCTGTATACCGACCCAGACTGGAACATTTGTAAATTAACCTTTTAACCTGCTGTCCCCAGACCCGGTTAGCGTTGCTCTTTAGAGGACTGCTGCTAAATGCTACGGGGTTTTTTCTAGGGTTAGAGGATCAGCTTTTAAAATGTTAAGCTTCTTCAACTCTCCGCTCTTAACTTCAAACTTGTCTTTGAACTCAAAAGCGATGTGTTGTGATGCAATAATGTGCTCAGAACTCAGCAGTCCAAGTCCCAACCGTCAGTGTCATGTCACTCACAGGCCTCGTGTTTACACCAGCGCATTTAAATCCCTCGCAAATTGAAAACATAACCGCTGTCAAAGCCCCCCCCCCCCCTCCGGAGGTAGCGTACGCCGCGCTCAATCTAGATTGACCCGCGACAGGTTGTCGTCTAGACAGCATCTCTTGTGGAAGCGTTGTCGAATCGCGTGCTTAGCTCGTACGTCTCCGGTCCTCCACCGACACAACGCTATTCCTAGACCTTGCCTTTCTGTTATTAAACGTGATTCACTGCATTATCCGAAGCAACGTAAACTGGTACGCCGCAGTCGGCAATTCTCGGCGATTGTGCAAACCATGGACGACGTGATGCGAACCTGAAAGCTCGATGCGCGTGAGCGTTTCAAGCGGGGATCTCTTTGTCAGCGGCCCCTGCAGGCTGCAGAGACGGTCAGGAGCGTTTTTGGAGATACGGTCGAAATTAAAAACCGGTTAAAGAATCTAGATATTTATCTCAGGTAAACAGGGCCGTATTGCTCCGGCGGAAATTAATGTCACACCTGTTTCTGACCCCATCAAAAAAAAACTACTAACAGTAGGCATAACTATGCAATTCATTTTAGTACAAAATATGATGGTCTACTTTGCCACTAATAATTGTTGTCTTCATCTTCACCCGGCGTAGTTAAAATGAGACGCGGCTGTGTTGCGCCTCAGGCCTCTTCCTAGACAACCTTTATAACCCCCCCCCCCCCCCTCCCCCCCCCCCCGAGCAGGAAGCCTTTGGACCCGGCTCGGCGCCTGCCAACTTGTCTTATCGCCATGGCAACCGTGATACAATCTAGCGTGTGTATGTTTTCAATCAAGAGCGTGACTGGCATTCTGATGAAAAGGCTTCGGATGTGGCATTTCGCTTCCCCTTGCCGCCGAACGGCGTGGGAGAGATGGACGTGTTTTGCGTCGCAATAACGTCCTCCCATTTTTTTTGAAGTATTGCTTAATATTCAAGCTAATGATATTCAGCCCTAATGATATGCTGTCGTCTGCCATGGCTCAACCGGCAATTACACCGTTCTGCAATGACCGGTTCTGTTTAATTAGGTCAAGGAGTCTGTGTAGAATCTCCATGTTAATTTGCCACCTCCTCCTCCTCCTCCTCTCTCCGTCCGTCTGTCGCCAGGTGAGAAGTACGAGTTGCACGCGGGCACCGAGTCCACCCCCAGCGTGGTGGTGCACGTGTGCGAGAGCGAGGCGGAGGAGGACGACGAAGCGCGGCCAAAGCAGAAGATCGTCCAGACCAGACGTCCGGAAGGCGCTCCCAACGTCCTGAACTAAGGAGACGGAAGAACCCCCACTGTCACCACCACCAAGACCTCCCGTCTCTCTCTCTCTCTCTCTCTCTCACTGTCTCTCTCCCTCACTGTCTCTCGCTAACTCTCTCGCTCTCTGTGCGCCGGAGGCACTTCGACTGCCCCCCCCCCCCCCCCCCCCCCCCCCGGCGGCCCTCTTCGCCCTTACACCTGCCAGTCTCTCTCTCTCTCTCTTTCTCTCTCTTTCTCTCTCTCTCATCTCTCTCGCCACGAGCAGAGACGAGCGGCGCCGCCCCTCATTTCAGTTCAACTACCGAGCGAAACAAACATCGACACGGTGTTTTTTGGGGGGGGGATGCAAATGGCGATGAAATGAGGTGGCCTGATTGGGATGTTGGGAAGGGGGGGGGGGGCGGCGGCGGGGGGGTGGTGGAGTGGATGGATGAGAACCACACACGCACACACACTCATCATCACATACAGTGGACCGAGTGGGGACTTTGTGGGCATCCCCGCCTCTTAACGCCCCCCCCCCCACCCCCCTCCGACCTTTGACCCCTCGACCCGGTCTGACGGTTTGTCAGACAGAGGGGGTAAGAACAAAACGACAGAAATCCCATAGTCACGTTTTCATACACGCTTTCTATCTATCGCTATATATACCGCTTGGTGATGAGTTAGTCGTTTGCCTTTGCGAAGTCCCGCCCCCTTTCCTTTTTTTTGTTTTTTTTTCACATCTTGGTACGTTTGATATTTGTGGCTATTTGTACCAGAGGTACACGCTAACCTCACAAGTATGCTTTTTGTATCTTTTTTTTTTTTTTTCAAATGATTATTTTGTGTTATTGTTTTTTTTCTCTTCGGGTTCTGTACTGTGTGTCTCTCTCTTTCTTTGTTTTTTTTTTCGATCCTCCATTTTCTTTTTTCTTATTTCCGCTTCAGCGTAGGCCGACGCGGCACCAGGACTGACCGTCGTGCGACGTTCCTGCTCTTGTCTGCATGTGTATATATACACATATATATATACTGTATTACAAAACAGAAACACATAATGCTCAACAGATATATAAAGAAAAAAGGATCCTATTTAACGTTTCAACACACACACACACACACACACACACACACACACACACACACAGCATGGAGCGCCATGTGTAACTGATAAAAAAGTTGTGGTGGTTGTTCTTCTTTTCTCACTCTTTGACTCTCTCTCTCGGTCTTGTTCATTTTAAAGAGGTGTTGTGTTTTTATTTTTTTCTGAACTACTAGATGTGTACTCCTAAATATGTATTTGATACCACAAATAGTTTTTTTGCATGCTAAGTTATTTCCGTAGTTTAAAGAGCTGCGGTGGGTTTTTTTTTTTTCTACTGTTTACGCGTGGTGACGGCAAAAAACGCAATCGTTGTCTTTGAAGTTAACGCATATCTACGCTATGGACGAGTTTGAGGCGGCATCTGATGAAAAACACGGTGGACCGAACGGGATTTTACGAAGAAGAAGAAAAAAAATGGACAGTTGACGGTTTCTTCCTTCAACTTGACGGCAAACCCGGCCTCTAGCGGCGTCTTTTTGTCGGGATTGAAACGTCAGAGTCAGATCGCTCACCGTCCCCCCGGATCGGTATTTCCGTCGTATACCTGTCTAAAAAAACCTTTTTATTTTGTTTTTTAAAAATACTTTTATCGTATCATTTTTTTGCATGCATTTTTTGAGCGTCTACTCGTCCATATCTCAAGTTCTGTTGTTTTTCTATGAGGCCACTTTGTATGTTGTCAGGGTTTTCCTTCTGGAAACCTCTACTGCTTGTTTTGCACAGAGTACCTCTTGATATCTCTAAGCCCCCCCCTCCCCCCCCCCCACATCTGCACCACCGGCGGTGTCTGCTACCGCGGGACAGGAGCATCCACCCTGATCCCTGCTGTAAATAGCTGAGCAGTGCGGTGATGATAGAAATGAAAAAGGTTTGGATTTAATATTACTGACGACTACTAGAAGAATTTTTTTGCTGAGAAAAGGGAAAAAGAAAAAAAAAGGGGGTAGCCTCATGAGAAATCAACCAAAGCAATCAGTTACTCACTCACTCACTCACTCACCCGCTCGCCACATGTTCAAATCACATTGATTTTCCTTACGCTGATGGTGTTTATTTAGTTTTTGTTTCCCTGATAAATAAACTTTTATTTTTCGGTTTGATTAGTCGAAGGCTTTGGGAACGTGAGTTGACTGCGATTCATCTTCATTCTGCTTTCATACGAGTTTAAACTAACTAACAGCTTTTTTTCAGAGGCCCATCAGCTGAGTGGATTTCA